GCCTAAGGCAGTCGCTTAATCAACTGAGCCACCCAGGCGCCCTGATTTTTTTTTTTTTTCCAATTCAGTGTGTTGGTACCACAGTTAGAGCCTAAATAGATAATATAAGAGATTTGCCAATGTTGTTACAAGGTTTGTTTCCAAGAAAGACTAGAGGCTTTTGTTTGGCCAACCTTCATTGTGTGTAATTGGGTTTTTAAAGATTTTAAACTCTCTGGTATGTTGAGGTCAGGACCAAGCTTTCAAACGGGACCTCAAAGGGAGATGCCCCCTTCTCATCCCCCAGATTAGATCACTCACTGAAGCCACCTCCGTGATTTGAAACTCAGCCCACTTTTCACAGATGCCCCATCTCTGGTATTGAGAAGCCTCTCGAGGGCTTCTCATCGTAGACTCTCAGGAAATTGGTTGCAGCCAACACAACCATGTTGGATTTAGGCCTTCCTGGCCTTTGCAGGAGATGTTTGGAATGGACGTTGTGCACATTTGAGTCATCCTTCAAGGACGGCACACCTTGCATCCCATACTCACTCATCACGTGGTTCTTTCTATAGACGGAGTGATCAACATGAGCATCCCCATTGTACTGCCTGTCTCTGCGGACGATAAGACGCGGCTGGAGGGGCGCAGTGAGTTTGTCCTGACATATGGTGGACGGAGAGTGGCTATCTTACGAGACCCTGAATTCTACGAACATAGAAAGGAGGAGCGTTGTTCCCGTGTGTGGGGGACAATGTGTGCAAAACACCCCCATATCAAAGTAAGTAGCAAGACCTTTGGAAGGGCTTTCTTGATCTTCAGTTTAGGACAAAAATCATTCCTTTTTATTCCTTCACGAAGGACTTAAAAGAAACACCAGGGTCAGATAGAGGAATGCATTTCTTTTTTTAAAATCAATTTATGAGAGAGAGAGAGAGAGAGAGAGAGCGCGCGCATGCGCGCGCGCGCACGAGCAGGGGGAGGGGCAGAGGCTAAAAGGAGAGAAACTCAAGCGGACTCTGTGCTGAGCATGGAGCCCGAAGACGAGCAGCTTGATTCCGTGACCCTGAGATCATGACCTGGCTGAAGTCGAGTCAGACCCTTCACCAACTGAGTCCCCCAGGCACCGCCTGAGGAATGCATTTCTAGGGCAGGTCTTGCAGGCTGTGCCTTCGGAGATCTTTAGATAGGGGCAGAGAAGTGTCTTTTGTGTTCGGGGGCTGCTCTGAATGATTCAGTGAGTCCTCAGATGCTATGATGGCTGGCTCCCTCCGCTAAATGGGAAACAACTGGACTGGGTAGATCATTGAGTCTGGCATCTTGAGTAAAGGACAGAAATCAGAGCCATAGCTAGAACTTGTGGCACTCTCCATCTTGGAAATTCACGGGAAGCACATTCCTCATCCAGAGTGGGTCCAACCGACCACTGGAGAGAGACTCGGAGTGCGTGCCTCGTGGTCAGTGACATCCTCTTAGTAAACAAAAATCAGTGCAGAGCAGATGGCGTTAGAGTCTCCAGAGGGAAAGAGCACATTGTCATCAGTGGATATTTTAAGATTGAAAAATGCGTTCATCTGATTAGGATTGTTTTGAGTCTATCCCGCCTAAAGGCAAAATAGGCTAAACCTCCTCAGATTCTTTCAAACTTCTGCTTGGTGGGGGTGGAGAGTCTCATGGAATTGCTGGGTGTGGTCTGTTTCCCATAAAGGAAAGTATGTGAGATTGAATGCAAAAGCCATCCCTTGCCCAGGATGAGAGCATTTGGGTTGAAATTTTAAAAAGCTGTATAAAAGGAGGGGCCAGACTCAAAATAACCCCAGGATCTCTTCCAGCCCCGTGCCCCTACAAAAGATGTTTGAATGAGCCTACTGGAATTGGTTGGGCGGATGTTGGTTTGGTTTCGTTTGTTTCAGTTGTGACATGTTGCAAGGGAGGGAGGGGCTTTTTCAAGGCCTCTAAACACAAGAAGTGAATGAGCAAAGCAGCTTCTCATTTGATGGACACAATCATCCACCTTGTAGATGAGCATCTTGATCCTGCCTCTGTTTCATCTACTCCCTGGTCCTCATGGTCTCGTGATGGGTTCTGATCTTCCGTCAGTGACCCGGAGAGAGAAGAGTGACCCTGCATCTCCCTGTACCAGAGACGTCCCCTCTTGGGGCCTGCTGTCCACATCCACTGTGGTAGTCCTAAAAGAAACACCTGAGGAAGCTCTCGAGAATTACTTCATCTTGTTGGCAGTGGAGCTCAGAATTTCTTAGAAGCCAGGGAACGTGGTGCTGTGACTCGTGGTCTTGGTCATCTGGTCAGTGACTGTCCCATGAGGTCGTCAGAGGGACTCTGCAAACATTCCCAGTGAGCTAATGGCGAGAAATGGGCCATGGTTAACCTGACAGAGGAAGGCACTCAGCATACACACCACACCCAGAGTGTGACGCACGTTTGCCGGGGGCACCACACGCACCGTTTACAGGGAAGGGACTTTTCACTGCCCCTTTTTTAGCACCTTGAAATTTACAGTGAAATTTACACTGAAAGGTGTTTTTTTTCCCCCCAAAGTAACCCCTTCCAAAAGTGGCGTGGGCCTTGTTGCATTTCCAGTGGCCCTGGGAGTACTTGGCTGGGTCAGTTCTGGGGGTTGGCGCTGAGCGCTCCTTGTGAATCTGTGAAGGTTGGGATCCTGGCGTTAGAGAAGTATTCGGGGCTCTTTCCGGGCTGGCTCCACCTGCAAGCACCTCACCCCCATCTGGCTGTGGCCAAATCCTGGGCGTCTTCCTCCTCCCGTGTTGGTTCAGCTGCTGGGTCCTGGCGATCCACCCCCTCCCCACGGCTGGCTTGACGTTGGGCACTTTTCTGTTCCACCTTGGGCCAGGGCATCTGTTCCCCCGCTGTGTCCTGCCTGACTCCGGCTTGGCCTTGTCCGTCCTGCAGCTGGTGCATCCTGCCCGACCCATCCCTGGCTGGTCATGCTGCAGAGCGGGCCAGCGTGTTGTCCTCTCCTGCTCCTGCACATGCTGGTCCCTCAACCCAGACACTGTTCCTCCCACCCCTGCCACCTCCCCAGGCTGCCACCCCGTTCCTCCTTCCTCCCCCTGACCCGCGTGACGGGGTGTGCCGCCTTTATGCGCCCAGACTGCCCTTGTGCGGCCCCAGCTCTTCCAGTTTTGCCACCTGCTCAGCCTTCTGCCAGCTCAGGAGATGAAGGGCTGTCTTGTTGGGCCGGGCTCACCCTGCAGGCAGAGCTCAGGGGAGGCAGCAGGTGCAGTGGGAGGAGCAGCCTGGCTTGGGGGGGTCTTGGGCGCCGTGTCCTGGCATCTGGCAGTGCCTGTGCGTCCTTGAGCGCTGCCGCTTCTCTCGTCTGCAAACAAGGCGTGAAGTCCTGTCCTTTCTACCGGACAGCACAGAGATGAAGGGATGTTCTCCACGGGGACCGCCTCAGTTTTCTGCCTCTTGAGCCTCATCTCTGAACCCCTTCGTTGTGACCCTGTTTTCCCGAACACCTGCCATTTCTCACTTCCTCCTGGTTTCTTGCCCCCTCCCTGTTCCCTTTCCATTGTGACGAGTGTACCTCCCCACGCTCAGCAGCTGCTCCCGCTCCAGCCCATGCACCCCGCCTCCTCCCCAGGCTGTGTCTGTGGGGCTCCTCAGAGCAGCCGCCTCGTCTTCGTGCTAGGGTCCGAGCTCACCCGCTCCTCCTTTCTGCGTTGCTGTTGCCTGTGATTCCAAGCGCGGATGCCCTCTCACACTTCCTTCGACTCTCCGAAAGCCCGTCCCTCATTTCTGTCCGTGCGCCCAGGTCTGCAGACTCTCCAGCGGTGTCCCCCCGCCTGCCTTTAGCAGGAGGCACAAAAGGAGCTGGGGGCCCTTAGGCCACAAAGCCTGGGAAATGGCGCAGAGCCACAGAACCTCCCTTCCTGGTAGCGAGAGCTACGTTCTGGGGACAGTTGGGCCATCTTGGGGAGAGAAATGCCCTTTGCTTCTCCCCATCTCAGAAATGCCAGAAGCATAGTTCAGCATTGCTCATCAGATAGACACATTTTTTAGGCTGAGTTGTGAACCAAACTGGAGAGATGGCGCCTTCACCAACAGAACAATATAGGGTGGACCCCTAGCGTCCAGCATGAGTTACTGCACTCCTAGGGATTTGGGGTAAGTGTCCACATTTTATCCATCGCCCAACTCTGGGCAAGGAGGAGAAAGCAAATGCACAGGTATGGGGATTTGACAGTATTCTTAGTAAGTGATTTTCCTCCCTCCATCCCACACAGCCGTGTTTTTCCTTTCCGTTGCTGTAACCACCCTTCCCGCCAGGCTCACCCCTCACGTTTGTGGGGTCCAGGGCAAATGAAAGCCCACATACCATATTTAAAAGTTACCTATCGAACTAACAAACTCTTAGATAAACTATGTTCTGTCCTTCTACGTTAAGAATAACCCAGAAGGTCAGGTTCAAATTTAAATTCTCCACCAGAACATGGTGCTGTGTGAAGAGTTGGCTCTCGACCTGCCATGAACCCTCTTTCCTTCTCTGCTTGGCCTTGTCCTATACCAGGAGGGTGCCCCAGGCCGGATGGCTGAGCTCCACCCACACCCCCCCCAGACTCCCCTCACTCAGCCCCTCCCCAGAAATAGGGCTGCCTCCCCGGCTGTGTGCTCCACCCCAAAAGACAGGCTGGGAGAGGAAGCGTGTGGTTCCTTGTCAAGGTGTGCATTTTCTGTTCCTCACTGTCCCCGGCAGTCACTTCAACAGAGACTGGGTATTGACAAGCGAGGGTGTTAACAGTAACCTCTGTGGTTTTTTTTAAGAATCTTATAGTTTTAGATTTTACATTTAGGTTTTAATCCATTTTGAGTGAATTTTTTTACAGGGTATAAAATAAGGCTCTAACTCTTTCTCTTTGTATGTGGATATCCAGTTTTCTCAACACTGTTTGCCAAAGAGACTTCTTGCCCCATCGAGTGGTCCTGGTGCCCTTGTCAAAGATTATTTGAGAAAAATAAGGTTTTAGCTACTTAGTCTGTGCTTAGCCTTGGATGTGGATTTGGCAACATATTGCTGCTCTTTGGACATTTTCTTTTGTTTTCAAATTAGAGGTAACAAAGGATGCTTCTTTCCAGAGTTTCCTTAGAAACTGTGCTCAGCAATAATGAACCGGTAGAAAACAACTTGCCTGATTTCCCCCAGCTTCTCTATTTTGGGTCCTTACTGAAAACAGTCTAAGGCACATCAGGCTGTATTAGGGATGTGCTGGCGGTGGTTCTCAGAGAGTGGCTCGCAGAACACTGGGGGTCCCGAGACCTTTCCACAGAACCCCAGTCTCAAAACTGCCTTCGTAATGCTGAGACATCCTGTGCTGTCTTCACGGGGCTGACATTTGTACTGCCCATGCTAGAGCAACGTGGGCGAAACTTCTGGCCCCTCGGACTCAAGATGCCTGGCTCAACTTGGGTGGTCCCCTCAACACCAAGCACTTGCAGTAAAAACAGGGCCGGCTTCAGTTAAGAATGTTCTTGATGATGGGGTGCTTGGGTGGCTCAGTTGAGCATCTGACTCTTGATTTCAGCTCAGGTCATGATCTCAGGGTCGTGGGATCGAGCCCCAAGCCGGACTCTCTGCTCAGCGCTGGGCGTGTGGAGTCTGCTTGAGATTCTTTCTCTCCCTCTGCCTCTCCCCAGCTCTCTCTCTCTCTTTCAAAAAAAAGAAAAGTATAAAAGGGTTGAGAGACCAAAAAGTTTGAGAAATACTGTGTTACAAATGCTTAAGAATGGAAGGCGGTTCTTCAGGATTAACCCAAGTTCGGTCTAGGAGAAAATGGTTTTCAGATAAACTAGAAGTCGACACTCATCTCCAACAACTTTACTCATGGTCTTTCTAGATGGTGATGGAAAGTGGGGATTGGCTGGTGGGTGGAGACCTGCAGGTGCTGGAGAGAATAAGGTGGAATGACGGGCTGGACCAGTACCGCCTGACGCCTCTGGAGCTCAAGCAGAAATGTAAAGAAATGAACGCTGGTACGTAGACTGCCTTGTGTGCCTTTGTCAGTCCTCCTCCCCACCCTCTGATTATAGAATTCGAGATACCAGGAGTCTGCCATGTCTATAGTTTCAAAAAGCTGGAGACCTCTATGGATGTGTGTATTGATACGGACTGGAGCAATTTAGAAAGTTGAAGTACATCCACATATTGGAATAGGATGCAGCAGTTAAAAATAGGCACGGACACAGAAAAATACCCAAAGTGTATTTATTCAGCAAAAACACAAATTGCAGAACAATCTCTACAGCGTAATTTTGGAAAACAAAATACAGTAATTGTTCTTAAAACCCTAAGCTACTTGTGTGTCTAGAAGCAGAAGTCTCTGGGGCACACGCCCCAAACCGCAGGTGACAGGTGCCTCTTGGGGATGGAGGTAGACCAAGGGGCGGGAAGATTTTCACTTTATAAATTTTTGAAAAAGTAATGGTGGGATTATAAGTGGTTTTTATATCCTGTTTGGGGCTTTTCTGGATTCCCCACGTTTTCCATGATGGGTATTTCTTTCATAACTAGAAGGAAATGAAGGCTGTCAGGAGCCTGTCACTAAGTGTAGTAGTTTTGAAGATTTTTTTTACAATGAAGGTGAAATATGTTTTTACGTCTTTAGGTTGTTAAAACTTTTCCCAGGCCCCAGATGGCGCTGGTCGTTGCTCACCCCCTAGGGGAGCGAGCCTGAAGCAGAGGGTGACATGGGGACTGAGTGGTGCTTGGCGGCAGAGGCCCTGGTAATAGATGGCTTCATTTCCGAGGCAGGCTCTCCCATTACAGCTTCCTGCCTGTGTGTCCTGTCTGGTCTGGTGGGTGCCTTTGGAGTAACCAAGTAACCCCCAAAGACCCAGGTGGATTCTCCAGATGACTTTCGAAAGCAAGTGGGCATAGTGAATACTCTGAACAATAAACATTGCTGTTTCCTTTCTTTCAAGATTTTAAAAAAATTTTTAAGTCATCTCTATACCCAATATGGGGCTCGAACTCACAACCCCAAAATCAAGAGTCACATGATCTACTGACTGAGCCAGCCAGGCCACCCCTTCCTTTCTTTTAAAATTCAAGATCTAACTGGCTTTATTAAACATTCTAGCAAGCAGAGGGGAGCTCCCCCTGCATTTTCTTTCTTGTGCTTGCGGAGGAGCGACAATGTGCATTTTGTTCAGTTCGGCCTTTGCTCCTTTCCCAGATGCGGTGTTCGCGTTCCAGCTGCGCAACCCCGTCCACAATGGCCACGCTCTGCTGATGCAGGACACCCGCCGCAGGCTGCTGGAGCGGGGCTATAAGCACCCCGTGCTCCTGCTGCACCCTCTGGGGGGCTGGACCAAGGACGACGACGTGCCCCTGGAGTGGCGGATGAAGCAGCATGCGGCGGTGCTGGAAGAAGGGGTCCTGGACCCCAAGTCAACCATCGTTGCCATCTTCCCGTCCCCAATGCTGTACGCTGGCCCCACAGAGGTGAGCGGTTCCCTGGGCCAGGCTGGGGGCCTCGGAGATGGGGGCTTAGACTTTACTTAAGAGGAGCCAGTGAGTCTCTGCGATCCTTTTCTCTCATGAGCAGATTCTGGAATCTTCCAGTCTCTCTTCTTTATCCAACTTAATTATGTTTCCGTTTAGTATTTGTAAGAATGCTAGAAACACCACCTCAGACCCATTACACAATGCCTTTGAGAACGTGGAGCTGACGTGTGAGCAAGGAGGATAATGCAGCTTGACTGAGGCTGTAGGGCAAACCGTATCGCACCTCATACTCAATTCCCGAAGTTTCAGTCACTCTGACTGGTTCACCACAAACGCCTGTGAGCGTCCTTAGAAAGGAGAATTCGTTTCTAAAAGCTTGGTGTCCCCTTTTGTCATAGCACAACAAGCCCACCAAACAGGGATGTTCTCCGTCCCATGGCACCAATTATGTGGGAAGCGTGATCAACTGGAAGGGTCCCAGTGCTTTGGAATACCCCAGAGTTTCAGAAATTAATTCTCTTCAACCAGATTGCAGTGCCAGGCCTCCTCATCCTCTGTATTTCTCACTGAGCTTCAGACGGGGTGATTCATTTTGAAATCCCAATGTCGTGTTGAACGAGAATCAATGTCTTCGTATAATCCGCTCATTATTGGCAGTCGGATAATCAGACATGTTGGAATTTGTAATTTCCTTGAAACTGTGATCTATTCTGAATAGGGAGGGACTAGAAAGTAAAATTCACATGTCTGAGTGTTTCTGGTCCACTTGCCTGTCTGGAGGGGTGATTAGGAGACAGTTCTAGGAACAGTTCTCGGGTTCTAGGAAGTTGGGGTCAGGTGGGGGGAATTCGTGTCTAGAGCTCCTACCCTACCTGATGTAGTGAGCGTGAAGAAGAGCATGGGGTCTTAAGACACTCCAGCAGAACAAAGGCATCTCTGTAAACAGGGACCCCCCGAGCTGGCCAGTGGTGACCAGCATCTCCCTTGCATGATGTTTCCTAGGTCCAGTGGCACTGTCGGTCCCGGATGATTGCAGGGGTCAATTTCTACATCGTGGGCCGGGACCCTGCAGGCATGCCCCACCCCGAGACCAAGAAAGACCTGTATGAACCCACTCACGGAGGCAAGGTCTTGAGCATGGCCCCGGGCCTGACCTCGGTGGAAATCATTCCATTCCGCGTAGCTGCCTACAACAAAGCCAAAAAAGCCATGGACTTCTATGACCCGGCAAGGTAGGTTTCCAGAGGAAGATTCTTTAATCACCATCTGTACACCATCTGCGGAAGGGCATCTCCACATGCTCCCGGTGGGATGAGAGTCCCTAGAAGGCCGAGACTTGGTCTTACACGTTCCGTGTCCCCCTGAAGCGTAGCACGGCCCCTGCATGTCAGTAGATGGTCCATCAGTAGCTCTCTTTCAACAAGTCTTCCTTGAGCGGTGTTAAGGGAAAGGAAGCCAGCGTAGCAGTAGGGGACATGCCCGTGGACAGAGTAGGTGCCCAGGCAGCGTGGAGCTTGTGGCTGCCATCACGCCCCTTTCTTCTGCAAGTTCCTTTACTCAAGAGTTAGTGAGAACTGCCCATTCCCGAAGGTGCAGGAAAAGATAGGGTCTGAGACTCGTCACCTCATGCAGGCATCTCTGGGGACAGGGTGACTTACCCGCTCTGAGCTGTGTGTGGCTGCCCCGTGACAGGCACGACGAATTTGACTTCATCTCTGGGACACGAATGAGGAAGCTGGCCCGGGAAGGAGAGAACCCTCCAGATGGCTTCATGGCGCCCAAAGCATGGAAAATCCTGACAGACTATTACCGGTCCCTGGAGAAGAACAACTAAGTGCCCTCCGGCTCCACAGTTTCTTCTCGAAGTGCTCTTGGGTTCTTTTTCCTATTTTTGTGATTACATGCTTTGTACACAATTGCTTCTCAGTGATCGATTTTCATGTTTTATAATGAGGTAAAAATTGTGTCTATAATTTAAAGTCAACTTCAATAATATATAAAAGAAAGTCCGAATGAAGACCACCTCTTAGCAGGTGCAAGCAGTACTGTTATTTCAGAATGAAATTGTGTTCTCTACTGCGTCTGATTACGTAGGTTCCCAGGTTTCGGAAAGCTTTGACCGTGTGTCTAAGTTTACTTGCCAAGAAGTAAAGCGTATTTTCCAGCTTAAGTCTTGCCCAGTGTCACACAGTAACACGAACCAGACTGAGCAACCTCTTCTGTACAACTGACTTAAGGGGGGAAAAAAATTCTCACCCCTAAACGAGGTGTGGCTCACATGAAGACTCTCGCTATTTCACCTCCTGCCTCCCGCCCCGTCTCCTAAGGGGCTCAAGCCACACCTCGGATCTATGCAACCTAGTTCGGCTGAGAAAGTTATGTTTTCTAAGAAAGGAGGGAGGTCTTACCACCCTTCTGTGACTAGAACTCCAGTTCAACGGTGATTTTTCAGTTGCAGAACACAGGATGCTTTGAGGAAAAGATTGGCACCCAAGGTTCAGACGATCTGGGATTGTTGTGGGAAGTTAATTTTTCTCTTTGATATGGTCACTGTGTCCTGGGAGAAGCAGCTTCGGGCCAAACCAGTCCAGACCATCAGACTAGCAAGCTGCTGGAATGGGGAAAAGACCCCAGAAGCCCTTCGGTCTCCCAGGGGTCCCCACCAGATGATGCCTAGCGCCTGCTTCGGGAGCGGCTGAGCACGGTCACAAACTCTCACAGTTGGCATCGTTAGAAAGTAGTGGTGACACCCGACGGGCTTGCTGCCGCCGCTTGACCTGCAGTCTGGGGCTCCGTCTACACTGTAAAACACAGGGGCTGCCTCTGGCCCCCCTCAGTTGCTTAGCAAAGCTCCTTGCACGGAAGGCACTTACGAAGCAGTCTTCTTGGATGCCAGAAGGTCCAGAGTTTTCTAAACCCAGCGGATCTTAGTGCAGCTGGAGAAAATACTTTTCCAAAGACTCATGCTGTGCCGAGACATCTAACCTCTGATGGCTTTACTTCTTGGGAGGTGATCTTTGTACTTTATACATAATTCCTTGTTGCTAAAGAATATATGAAGAAACCGTACCTTTTATAGCTAGGTCTCTCTGGAAGAGACTTAAACTGTAAAGAGAAAACTGTGATTTTTTTTTTTTTTTTGAGAAAATGCTAATCTTAGCTACTGAAAGTTCTTTTGAGAGTAAATTACACACAATGGCCACAGCAAAGCGTAACTGCCTTGACTAGTATAGTGCCTATGTTGATTTAATCAGAGGTACTCAGTACTGCCTTTTTAAAGAACAGTGTATTTATTGAAAACATGAGATGGAATGTAGTGCCTTAATCAATATATTTTGTGATTTTTTAAGATATATTTAAAACTGCTTTTCTGCACTTAATAATACTGAGTGCAAAGGACTATTTCTATGTAATAAACTTCTCAAAATGAACGCGGAGTCCTTTCTGCCTGTGACAGAGTGTGGGTTAGCCACGGGACTGCCGAGGGCTTTGTGACTGTGTAATTGGGAAGAAGAGCAGCAACCCTCTGACCACGATTAAGAGGCTGTTTGCCCGCGTCCGAGTCACTTAAAAACCACACGGTGGGTGTAGATGTGCAGGGCTCCTGATGTCCTCAGGGGGACGAGGCTGCTTGGGGGCTCACCGTAGGATGTCACCGCGGGAGGGTCTGACCTCTTTTCTTTCGTACTTGCTCCCTTTTCTCAAAGTACCCCCAGGGAGTGCGCCAGCCGGGCTGGGAGCGGGCTTTTGCTGTTGTCTTGTTTTCCATCCACTCTCGCACAGCCGCCAACCTCAGCCATGGCTCCTTTGTCTTGAGCCGGGTACCTGTTTCCACCCCTACTTCCTGTGGCCTGCGGGCACCTGGCAGTCTGGGGCCATGTTCCCCCTTGGCCGCCTCCCTGTGGTCCTGAAGGGTTCCTGCACATCCTGCCACTGCTCCTCACTGGGGAAAGAGCCTGCTTCTCGCCCAGGGCCTCGCTCGCTTGCTTGTTCCAAGTGACCGTTAGCGGGACCAAGCAGGGCAGGACATGTGTGAGAACACGAAGACAGAAGGGGTGCCAAGGGGGGATGCCAGACCCTCATGGCAGGGAGAACACAAACCCTGGGAAGGCCCCTGGAAGTCGCTGGGTCCGACAATGGCAGACCTTGCCAACGTACCAGCACGCAGGCCCCAGGATTTCTCTCCAGCCCATCTTCCTAGCACGAAGGAACCAATCCTGGTTACTCGAGGAGAGCAAGTGTGATTTTGTTTTCATCTTCCATTCTGGGACCCAGCTGTCAGGTCTGGCTTTCCTGACGGGCACCGGAGCTGCTCTTCCGTGTGAAGGTCGGAGGGACCAATCGTGCCGCTTTGCCTCAGATTCTGAATGCAGGTCCCCTTTACTTAAGCATTTCCTCATCACCATATGCATCAAGGATCAGGAATGCACTACGCGCAGATTTTGAAAACCACTGACTTTGCTTGCCTCTCACATGCATTTAGTTCTTTGATGAATATTAACTATTATTGGGCCACTCAGTAGGTTCACGGAATGGGGAAGATGATATACAAGCAATTCACCGATACTCACTCCAGAATCTGCCTACCTTTTTTGCTTATATTGTAAATTATTTTAATGAAAAAAATTTAAATTATTACTGAATTTTATTGATATTACTAAAAATAAATGGGTTACTGGCTAGGGTTTAGAGATTTAGTCAGATACAAGAAAAACCTAGACAGTATACAAATCACACTTTTCTATGGGGCTAGCAAGGAATGGGGGATGCTGGCGAGGACCCCCCCAGCTGAGTGGGCACAGCTCTTTTAAAGTCACCATACGTATTTACTATTGCTGGCATCAATAATACACACTGTATTTGGTAAAATTCTTAAATACAGTATTTTCCCCCCTCAGAAGTTTAAGCCTGCTGTGCACTTCTTTCACAAAATAATGTATGTGACAGTTATAAACTGTAACAGATGATACACACTTACATGGAAAGAACAATCTTTTTTTTTTTTTTTAAAGATTTTATTCATTTATTTGAGAGAGAATGAGACAGAGCATGAGACGGGGGAGGGTCAGAGGCAGAAGCAGACTCCCCGCCGAGCAGGGAGCCCGATGCGGGACTCGATCCCGGGACTCCAGGATCATGACCTGAGCCGAAGGCAGTCGCCCAACCAACTGAGCCACCCAGGCGCCCCAGGAAAGAACAATCTTGATTTATATTTATTTCATAAGCCTGCTTTCCATAAATAGTTCAAAGGTAAAATTCAGCTCATTGTAGGTTATATGGACTGCTTTCATGTAAATAACTCCAATACTGATCTGGTATTTTGAACTAGTTAAAAGACTGGCTTCTACAAGTGTATTCACCAAGAAGAGCCTACATTTATGGGAAGATATTAATCCCATGAACCACTAAAAAGGTTGTATCCCCCGTCCTATCCTCAGATGATAAAAGGAATTCTAGAAAGTACTAGATCTTTGGGTAGTCAAAGCAAACAACAAAGAAAACCTCTAGCTCCAACAGAGTCAAGGAAATAAACACGTTTAATACACAGAAACATCAGGCCCATGCGGAGTCTCCAACCTGCCTATCTGATGGCATTTTGGTAACCTGTGCCCATCAGAACAAGTGCATCCACCAAGGCTGACACCCATCAGCAGCTGAGTGCTGCAGTCAGCTCCGCATCGCTAACTAAGGGCCCTGCGTCTATCAACATGGCCGCCGTTGCCACAGTGCGCAGCTTAGTGAGCTGGGACAGGAACGTAGAGAGATCTATTTCAGCAGGCCCATCATGGTGCAGACAAGGAAATGGAGGCCTAGAAATGGGAGACCGGAGAGGACTTCCCTAAGCACACGAGAGCCTGCAGCCAGACTCACTTCCTCACTCCCAAAGCGTTTCCATAGGATTCTTAAAACAATCCCACAAGGTACATGTTTATGATTTCTGTTTACAGATAAGGGAACAGGTGCTCAAGGAAATAGAGGTTCTGCCCAAGGCTACAATGCCACATATACACGGCATACATATACATATATAAAATTGTATTACATATATATGTTTCACAGCTGGGGTTGAAACCTATAAAGTTGGAAATGAACTTCACAGGACTTGTAATTCTGCTAGAATGTAGGAGGATGTGAAAGACCTTCACTCCCAGAGTAACAAGAGAAAACCGAGACAAAATAAAAATAATGCTTCTCTATAAGGCTGGCAAAGAAAAGTGAATACAAGCATTCTTCACCGACTGCCCTCTGGAGAGAAAGAAGCCCCTCGGGGGTGAGCAGGAGCCTGGGTGCTTGCGTGTACCCCAGGGAGGAGACTCCTAAGTCTGGATGCAGGGTACGGAAGAGCAGGCCTGCCTCAGATGGAGATTTGGCAGATATGCGGAGAATTCAACCAGGATTCAGACAGTACTGACCAAGATCCACAAACATACCACCTTCAAAAACAAACTGCCAGGCTAGACAGTCCCCCTTCCCTGGATCTCACAGAGTAAATGGTCAAAGAGAGGCTCTGAGTCTCGTGTGTCCTCCTGGTGACTGGCTGCCAGACCCCGTCAGAACTGAGCACACGGAGGAAGCCGCGGACATCTGACCCCTGCACGCCCAGCCTCTCCCAGCTCCAGTACTGCCAAGATCAAAAGGCTGCTGCCAGAGAGGTCAGGGGAGGGCTTGGCACGCCCTTAGCATGGACATCTGACCCCTGCACGTCCAGCCCCTCCCCAACTCCTCTTATTATGGCTGCAGCCCAGACCTGGCATGACCGGACTCCAGAATGGGGACGATCAGGCCTTCACCACAACTGCCCGTCAGAGGAAAACGTTTGCCTTCCTTGGAAATAAAACAAAACCCAGCATTGTACTTCAGTCTCCAGTGTTCTTTTTATACCCATTATCTGGACCAAAACACATCACCAACTAGAAGTGATCACTTAGCTAAAAGTTGGACATGCCAAGCAGCAGTGCAGCATCGGGGGGAAGCAGAGCATCTGGGATCCCTGGAGGCCGCCCACAGGCCTGCAGCGCTGGCTGCTCCCCACACACCCGCTAGTTAGAACAGCACCGTCGCTGAGCACATAACCTACGGCTGCCTGCAACTGGCTGGTCATTTGTCACTTTTTGTTTGTCTAGCCACCTTCTCCACAATACTCGTTTCTTTGGTCGATACACTGCTCTCTTTTGCATTTAGTCTTGCTCTCCAACCATGTAAGCCAGGGTTCCTGGAGGGCCCCTCTCTCAGAGCTCCAGGACCACGGGCAGTGGTTTTCCCTGGGGTCTGCACACCCACTTCCAGGATTCAAGAATGGGGCAATTTAAAGATAAATGGGGGGGGGCGGTGCGCCTGGGTGGCTCAGTCGTTAAGCGTCTGCCTTCGGCTCAGGTCATGATCCCGGGGTCCTGGGATCGAGCCCTACATCAGGCTCCCTGCTCTGCAGGAAGCCTGCTTCTCCCTCTCCCACTCCCCCTGCTTGTGTTCCCTCTCTCGCTGTGTCTCTGTCAAATAAATAAAATCTTAAAATAAATAAATAAATAAAGATAAATGGGGTTCATTTAATCCAGTAGAGGAATAAAAGCTAGATCCTTGAGCAATTCCTGCTACAAAACCTTTGGGAGCTTTCTGTCCTAAGTCCAGTTTTTGAATTTCCTTTTGAGCTCATGAGCTAGCTCCTCATATCCTTCAAATAAATTCTTTATTGCTGGAGTCAGCTGTTTGCAGTGGGACCCCATGGGTACTCTTTACGAGACCAGGACTCTGGCCCCGTAGACAATGCTCGGCTCCCTCACACACGTCTGCAAAGGAATTTGCTCGACTGGACCATGGATCACCATCCCCTATTTGAGCACCTCGGCCATTGTCAGGATTTCTGCAAGCGACGCATCTCTGGCAGACAACACTGTGCTCTAGTTTTAAAACTGAACCGTCAGGATTCACAAACTCAGATCCTTGATACATTCCACACCAGCATTCACATTCACTGCAACCGCAGCTCCCAGCACAAAAGCTTGTACTTACAAGTGTTCCCAAGCAGAGTGATTCTAACTCTAAATATTCATCACAAACACATGCTCCCATTCCAGTGTTCTGGCGATGAGCCCTTATGCTCTGTTCGCAGTAACAGTGTTAACAGGAGCACTGGTGTGACTGAGGAGGTTGCGTTCTTACTCACATTGCTACCCAGTCTCCTTTAGGTCTGATCTCATCTGGCATCTGTGTCATCTGTCTTCTCCGCAGTTTCATGAACGTGAGGGGAGCACAGAACTTCCACCTATACATGTAAAGAGAGCTTGAACTTTTGACAAGATTGGTGAACTCTGATGCCTGAATCTACAACAAATTTAATAACGAAGGCCCTCTGAGGACTTCTGTCAGCTCTAAATGGAATGATTCTATGGCTTTGAGGGCAGGATATGTGATCTGCATATTGGAATTCTATCCA